CTCTCCCCCCTCTCTCTCTCTCTGTCTCTCTCTCGGTTCCTGGTGTCTATGCAGCATGTATTTATCTAAATGTGTCTTGGGACAAAATCACACTGCCGCCTGGGATGTGGGAAACACACACAAACACACAAACGCACACACTCACTCACACACAAGCTGCTAAGAGCAGTCTTATTTTAGAGGAGCTCTGGTCGGGTTTTGTAAGAGTACCTTACCTTCCCCCACATACAAGTGAATTGCACCGTGGGTCCTTTGGTGCAGCTGCACCGTGGAACCTACGGGCCACCTGGTGCAGCTCCATTCCAGAACGCCTCCTGCCATTTTATCCTACCGCCATATTTTCCCTTAGTTTTAGGAACAATTTATGGGTTAAAGACGAAATCTAAGCAGGATTAATAAACGGAAATCACATCGGCTCTGTGGTGCAGCTGCTTGTCAGACCCGAACAGCCTTGTGGTGCAGCTGTGTACCTTGGTTTGGACTTCTGAGTCATGTTTAATTATTAGGAAGTTCTGTTGTGGGTGTGTGGTTTGGTATTAAGTCTGCAGTGCACACACAAGCACGCACGTACACCCCAACACACTTCAACCGACACACAACCACAATTTTGCATCCAGAGCCTGTGGTGTGGAATCAGCGGGAGAGGTGGCGTGAGAGAGAGAGAGAGAGAGAGAGAGATGTACTGCTGTGTGCGTCTTTGAGTGTGTGTGAGTGTGTGTGTGTGTGTGTGTGTGTGTGTGGTGGGGATACAACCAGTGGCGTGAAAACCAAACAAAGGGCCCGGAGCCAATTGACAAGACAACAATCGCTCAGCGGCTGACGGCAATACAAACACACACACACAGACAGACACACACAGACTCAGGCAGTCTATGTCACCCGCACCCCTCCAGATCCTTCCCACCAATCGGCACAGCGGCCGTCGCCTGCCGCAGCCAATCAGTGGAGGCGGCAGCGGAGAACGCCCACTTCCTGTAACACAAGTCGCAACATTCCAGCAGGTAAACTATCGCAGTCGTCTCCAAATGGACAATTAGGCAAGATTAAAGGCAACGTCCTCGTCTCTCTCCATTAAGTTAATTGGGAGGAAAAGCCGTCTCATATGACGTCCCACCCCCCCCTCCCCCCTTCAGCTTTCCCTCCCCCTCTCATTCCTCTCGCTGCCCTTTCCCGGCTCAACCAGCACAGTTGTATTTACAGCAACTGAGGAAGGTCCACACTCACATCTGCAGGCTCCACCGAACCATCCGGAGGTCAAGTGCCTTGCTCAAGGGTAACCTAATGGTGCAGAGCATGTCTCACTACCGTCCACCCGTCGGTGCAAAGGGTTTGAACTGGCAACCCTCCAGGTTGCGTTGACTGTTGCATCCTTCCGCTACGTTTCCGTCCTGCTCTTTCTGACTTCCTCCCCTGTGCTCCCTGCCTTTGGAGACGCTCCGCAGGAACTTGTGCGATGCTGTTGTCTCATTGTGAGTGAGCATCAACCATCAGTCTCAAGGACACTTTGATTGGATAAAACCCTTCATCGCGTCCCCCTGGAGAGGAACTCGCTTCTCTGTCCATCGCACCTCCAAGTGAAGCTTTTAGGCTGCTGCTGTTTCTGCTGTGATGCCTTTTATGGGACTGGAAACTATACAAAAAGTGTGTTAGAAACTCTAATCTGATGGAAATCAGTTTATTTGTATTGTTTATGGGAACATTTTGTATTGAAGTTTTTATATTTTCTTACAATGCGTCATAAAAAAAAGCAAAGTTTTCGAATAACAATTGTTATGTCATATTTCTAGTCGCTCCTCCCTCCTTTCATGCGAACCCATCAACTGTAACATGAGCTGATTTAATGGGGGAGAATGATGAAGAATGAACACACACACACACACACACATTTACAGGCAGACACACACAAACTACCGGAGCAGAAAGTGAAGGTAACAGGATGAGGCTCATTCTGGGTCAGTGTTATTAGTCAGGAGACTAAACCATCACGTCACTGCAGAGTAAACCTCCCTGATACACCGACGACACGCACTCACACAACGACACACACACACTCCGACGTCACGCACTCACACAACGACACACACACACTCCGACGTCACGCACTCACACGACACGCACGCCGACGACACACACTCACACGACGAGCCGCCGTGGTCCTGTTGCTTTTTGAACCAGAAAGTAATTTCTCTTCGAGTAAATGTATTCTAGTCAAGGCTTTGTCAGAGTGTGTGTGTGTGTGTGTGTGTGTGTGTGTGCGTGTGTGTGTGTGTGTGTCTGGGTGCATATGCAGCGAGACCACAGTCTCTGCACACTGTGGGGGGGAAGCGACCACAGACTGCACACACTGTAACCCACAGACTCCAGTCCGGCGATCCTTCTATCTCGCCATCCCGATCTCTGTTTGTGCCCCCGACCCCCCCGACCCCCTGTAATGTCCCATGGGGGTCACCAGGAGTCCAACCCCTTCATCCATTGACCTGCTCCCTTCTCCTCCTCCACCAGCATCCTTTCATCTGCCCATCTCCCTCCTTCCCACGACCTCCCAATACCCACGATGCATCTGTCCTTGTCGCCTCGCCATCTGCAGGTACTGCTCCATCCATCCCACATTTTGCAATTAGAAACAAAAGGCAACCTCTTCGGTACTACGAATGGTTCGCTTCCTTCCTCTCTGCAGGATCCAGGACTCCTGCAGGACTAAACCCTATTATGCAGCCCGATGCCTGTCGCCCACCTCAGGAGCAGAACACCTAACAAAAGCCCTCTTTCCCTTGATGCTGGTCCAGCTCCTTCCCTCCGCCCCGTCTCCAGACCTCAGACCACAGGCCTTTAATAGGAGGGTTAGGAGGTAATTCCTATCGCACTGCCATCGTTTAATATCCAACCCAGGCTGACGGAGAGGAAGGTTACGAACCCAAACCAGAAAGCCGCCAGCAGACCTCCCCGTCTCCTCCCTCCTGCTGTGACCCCCTCCTTCGGTTCCCCCCCCCCCGAAACCTTCGCTTTACTCACACATGTCCGGTCCTCCTGTCTTTCTATCTCAGACGCCCTCTCAGACCTCACTACGCTACCGACCACTTCCTCTATTCGCAGAAAAACCCAGCGCGGAAGGGAAGAGGGCGCCAAAAAAAGAAAAATAATGAAGAGCAAGAGGAAACTCTAAACACTGTAATTTAGATTGTGCTGATGGCAAAGCGGGGACATAAAGAACATGAGATTTATAATGTTAAGTTTGGAACAGCTTCCTGCTTTCCACTACTGAGATGTCTGAGAGCTCCAGGGATCCACAAGGAGCCGGCGATGAATAAGAGCCACCGAGAACAACTACGGGTTTTATAGAACGGTGATCCAGTCGGGGGAGGGAATAAGGTTGTCACTCAAGAAGAACACGAGAAAAGGTTGGAAACAAGAAGTAAACACACACTGTGTGTGTGTGTCCTTCTTGTTCACACTAGAGGGTTTTGGACTCTTTGCTTTCGGCGAGCAACACTAAATAAATGCAGCCATGAATCTCACTCATCACCACGACGTCCGTAAAACGGGTTTCACGCTGTTCCCCCCCGCGGAGAAGATCTCACTGTATGTGGCCTTTCTGCCAGAACACATTAGGAAAATATACCTTATTGTAATCACCATAAACCACCAACAGTATTTGCCTGTTGTAACTGGTCCCTTAGTGTGTTTCAAAGTAAAAGTCTCAATTTCTCAAAGTGTATTTCCAGCCTAAGGAGCCTAAATGTTCCTTTTCTTTGGACGAGAGCCATGTTTCACAACATGTCCACTTTTCAGGATGTAATTAGTGTAAATTTAGATGTTTACGGTGTCAGAGTTTCATATTAACATGTGTCAAAATCTGCTCACAGAAGCATCTCTGACATGCAGCATAATCAGACGTTACCCACCAACAACCAGGCTTTGGCGCTTTGAACCCCGGAGGACATGTTCAGACTTTCTGAGGACACTTATTATGACACAGCGTGGAAGCTGTCCGTCCCTGTGAGGGACGTGACCTTCCAGCGTTACAGACCTACTATGTTCCATCCAAAAGGCATCCATCTGTGACACCTTTTCCCTTTTGTGGCTCCACACGTCTGTTTTATCTCATAAACAGCTACAACTTCAATTATGCCAAAAACTCCAAAAAAAAGACCATTCATAGAATAATATTTTAAAAAGGAAAATTAAAGTAGCTTACAAGGCGTTCTGCCTCATGGAAAGTTTATAAAAGTGGGTGAGAGAAGTGAGAGGTTCAATGTCCCAGCGCTGGTATTCCCTCTCCCAACACACACACACACACACACACACATCGATATGGTGCATGCATGCACACACTAGGAAACACGTGTTAAATAAGCTGAAGCAAGCATAAAAAAAGACTGCAGACACAAGCAGTTAAAAGCTAACATGCACCAGAGGAAAACACACACACACACACACACGCACACATAGTGTGTGGCTTCAGCTTGAAGGCAACAAAAAGGGCCATAAGGTTTAGAAAGGACCTTCAACCAAAGGAGAAGACGTATAGAAAACCTCAGTGCAAACAAGTGCAGAAAGAAAGGGCACAGGGGAGGAAACAGAGAGAGGGAGGGAGGGAGGGGAGTGAGTGAGGTATGTATGGTAGATATGGAAGGGAAGTCTAGTACTTGGGAGTGGAAGACTGGGTAAACCCACCAATTCTCTACCTCAGTATGCAATTCTTCTCTCTGGGAAAACTCCATTATTTCGGGAATAAAATTAAAGTTTCCAACAAAAAATATCACCCCATAAACACAAACACACACACACACACACACACACACACACTGCTTCTCACCTCCCCGCAGGAGCACAGAGCGGCACTGTGACACCTGGCGCAGGACTTGAACCCTCAACCCGCATATAAGTTCTGACATCGCACCGTGGTCGTGTTTTCAAGTGGATCGTGTAACACATCAAACAAAGACCAGAGAGAGGGAGAGTGATGGGGGAGAGAGGGATGGGGGAGGGAGGGAGCGGAAGGTGTAAAATGCAGACAGGTGTACTCACAGTCGTCCTAGTTTGGGGTTGGACTGGAACAGAAGTTCTGGGAGAAACTGCAGTTTGTTTCTGTTCAGGCGCCTGTGAGCCGAGAGGAGAAACACACCCATTAAAAAGGTTCCTGAACGCCTCGTGAAGCTCAACAGAGAAACCTCAGCATCACAAACTCATAAATCGGTCCCGGCCCTCGTGTTGACTGAACTATCGGCTGCCAGGCGACCGGGTCGCCCTGAAGGTCAGCGGCTGGCTGCCGGGTCAAAGGTCAAACCGCTGGGAGAGTGGGCGTGGTTTCCTGCGATGACGCCCTGTAGGTTGTGCTGTGTGCGCGTGTCACAGGTCACGGTCCTGTAAGCTCTCTACAGGCCGTCATCCCCTCGCGGGCTTTGACCCGCCAGCGAACGTCTGGCTCCTCTGAAGCTGCGTTCACTTCTCAGCACACGAGGTTATATTTTGTCACTTAATGGAGAGATGTGATCACATGCACATCTGGGGAGAAGAAGTCCCCGTCCCCCCCCAATGAAAAGGACTCATCCGTCCTGCAATCGGTCCAGATAAACAAGCAGTGTCAGATGTTTGCAGCCGATGTAAACAGGCCCACATCTGTTCTTCACAATAAGACTCTTCACATCCAATAAGTGTTTATTCACGACATGAGCAGAGGCCGAATGAGGGTCCTTATTGTTAAACGTGCCTTCAGACCGACGGTGAAGGCCACTCGGTGTCGTGCATGAACCCGTCCTCTCGACCTGCACGTACATCACAGCGAGTCAGCGTGCACACATGAGACTGAAGCCTTTTATTAACGCAAACTCATTTTTTTTGTTTCTCAACCAATATGAAAGGAAAGCCGCCCTCCTTCCTTCCTGCGGGTCACTAACGGAACACCATTGTTTGCTCGAGCAGGTTGAACCCGGCGTGAAAATGAAGACGTGCCCGTCGTCATTTACGAGGGAACGACGGAGGTCGGCCTACAAGGCAGACACGCGTGTGCGTCCGCGTGGAGGAGGACGCAGCAGACACATTGAGGACAGCGTGCGTGGAGGGAGTGAACGTGTTATCAAGCTCCCGAAGCCTTTGGCTGATAGACGAGGCGCGGAGGGGAAGAGGCGAAGAAAAGGAGGACGGCGGGGTCACGGGGGGGTCACGGTGGGGGGTCACGGGCGAGGTCACGTGGTAGAATCTGTTCTGGAGACGACACAGACACAAACCTTTTAGCCCCTGCGATGGTGATAAGGAGAGAGCGCGACTTTCACTTCCCCTCGCACCAACGGAAAAGAGAGCTGCGGCCCAAAAAGAGCCCCCCCCCCCCTCCCTCCATTAGCAACAACCGAGCCGCGGTCGCTGGAAAGAACCGCCGGTACCGAAGAGAAGCGCCTGATCGGCTGCTGCTGCAGTCATGAGTCACTTTGACATGTTCGCTCATAAAACAGTGCTTTAAGAGAAGAATCCTTTGTGTGCTAATGACGAGTTCCTTCTGCTCGGGAACCTTTCAAATATGACCAGGCCGCAAATCCACGGCCACTGCGTTCTCGAAATTTGGAAAACGATCCGCGATTCGTCAGAAGCCCAGTGAGGTCCAGCAGGGAGGGAACTAATCCAGAGACACAGTCAGGAAAACAACGTTGCCGTTTCAGATGATCTGTGTTGGATTCATTGGTTCAATGGTGAGACGACCTTATAATTCTCGCCCCAGAAGACCAGCTGAGCTGCACCTTTCCTACACTGTGACGCTACACATCCCGCGACCTCTCACCCCTAAACTTTCACCCCGACAGCCGTGACACCAGAGACCCGTCACGTGAGCGTCTCGAAAAAGCCTTTCATTTATTACTGCGGTGAGGAAAAGCACTCCGGGACCCTGCTCATCGTCAGCCGCGCTCAACCTGAGGGGCTTTTGCGTCTCCCTTTGATGGACGTCGTCCGCGTTCACTTCCACTGATGAGCAGCGTCGGAGCTGCACACCCCCCCCCCCCCTTCACCCCTGACCTCTGACCCCTCCTGACGCACACGAGAGCCTCTCACCGGCGAAGCAGCCCCCCTGATGGTTGTGCGATCTCCACGAGGAGAGAAGACGCACAACGTCTTCTCTGATCCAAAGTCGCGCCGCCGCACATTTTTAGCATCCAGGATATTTGGGGCCTTATTATCGGCCGGTGTCTTTTGTTGAAAACCTTCAGTTTGCGTCAGCTTTTGTTCTTAAACATCAGATGTATACTCACAGTCTCTCCAGCAGCCGCAGGTCTTGGAAGGCTCCTCTCTCCACAACACTGATTTGATTGTCCTCCAGGTGACTACGTGGACGGACACAAAGACACAGAGAAAACAGCATCATCGTATAATTCAACCAACAATGCAGAAACACGAGGACCAGGTCGGTCAGAGCAATGAAGGAGATACATCTCGTCTTCTGGGCAGAGCAAACATAAGCTGCTCGGCAGAAGTAAATAAAGAGATTTCAAACATCCAGAGATATATTTGCACTTTTAAAAAAAATCGCTTGTCTAAACAAGGAGCTGCGATGAAGCAAAGACACGCAGCACTTCACAAATGTCCTCATGTAGTGAGCCAAAACAAACAGTTAGCAACCATCCCTCTTCCACCCCTCACTGGCCTCCATTCCTCTGTCTCCGTCCCCCCGGTGTCCATCCCTTTTGTCTCTCCCATGCTCCGAGTGGGCTGTCATGTTTTTTGGGGGGGATATAAGGTCTTCCAGATGTGAAGAGCAAAGGAGGGAAAACATCTCTGGAGATGCGCATGTTCATGTCTTCTGTCTGAGGACGTTGAGAGCGACATCTCCTGAGTGAGAGGAGGGGGCGAGGACATCCCGAGGACGCCGGGAGAGACGGACGCAGAGGGGAAGGAGACGAGGAGGAGGCGGAGACGGAGGAAACAAGAACTCAAAGAGACGCAGAATGAAGAAGATGGATCGAGCGAGAGGACCATTGAAGGAGGACGATATCTGCCACGACCTCCCTTTAAATTGATGATGTCCTTTCAAATAAAAGGACATCAACATGTCTGTCACAAACACACAGCGCGGCAGCATCATCGGTGAGTTTCAGCCAACGCGCTTGCTTCATTTTCTCCACCCTGGTAGAAGCTTCTCTAGTGAAGCGAAATGAAGACATAACTTTGAGAAGCCACGAGAGTTTATTTGTCCAAATGAGGGATGGACGTCATGCTGGTTCATTCAACGGGGGCCAGAGGATCTGAAACCACACACGGGTCGTTCGTCCCGTCTGTGGCATTCATCACGGAGACAGATGGAGACAGATGGTGTCCTGTGTGAAGGCCCTGGAGTATCCTGGAGGCCCCTAACAAGGACAGTGGAGAGCACCATGACGTGGACTCACGTGCTTCACCCAGCGGGTGAGACCACGTTCACGCACACGCAGCCAAACGTTCACACTCCAATTTTCACCCACGTCTGAATTTGTTTGGAATTACTCCCTTTGGCTGCCGTGTGGACCTGAAGCTGCCGGAGAATCTACGGCGAAGCAGCACGGAGGCCGAGGCGATTAAAGAGGCCTCGCCTGGTTTACGCGCAACACGCTTGAACAGCAACCAGTCTGATTAGCGCGTTCTAACGAGGCCGGGTGCTACGTCGCCGGATTTTAGCATATTTAGCTCTTCTAGAATGGGAGACGGTGGAGTTCTGAATGCACAGCGAGCCCCTCGAGCAGCTGGGAGCAGACGTCGAGTTTGCTGATATGTTGAATTATTCGTAATGAAAGTCAGGTTTCACATGACTACTAATCACTCATTACTCGCCTGTATACGTTCGCACGCCGCTGAGAAATGCTTCTGTCGGCCATTAAGCTTCCCTGGGAAAAAAAAAATGTTAGGAGCATTTAACTACATGCAACCGTTTCCCATGGGATGCATGTAAGTGACCGGGAATCCCAGGACTCAACACGACGTGTGTGTGCGTGCGTGTGAGTGCTTGTGTGTGTGTGTGTGTGTGTGAGTGTGTGTGAGTGAGTGAGTGTGTGTGTTTGTGTGTGTGTGTGTGTGCGTGTGTGTGTGTGTGTGTGTGTCAGACAGGGGGAAGATATAGAGGTCTGGTAAGTAACAGTAATACCTGCAGATAAGGACAAAAGCCTTTTTCTTTATCCCTATATATATCATATGTAACAATGTGTGTGTGTGTGTGTGTGTGTGTGTGTTGGGGGGGTCTGTGTACACTTTCTCAGACTATCTTCCCTTTCCCAAGCCGTCTCCTTCCCATTTCTTTAAGAGATTTAAAGCGGGGAAATGTCACAGCAGTTTATTGCCAACCACATGAAACAAGCTGCAGTCCCTCACACACACACACACACACACACACACACACACACACTTTCCCCCGGTCCTTCTCAGCCCGTACGGTATACAGACACAAGCTTTATCTCTATTATAGTAGTCTATTTGTACTCACACACACACACACGTGAACTTATTTCCACTCCTCAGTGCAGTTTGTGCTGCGAGTGTATTTTTATCTGCTTTAAACAGAGCGAGGAGGGAAGCTGCATGCAGCAAACAGTGATTATAGTTATTATAGGCCTTACGCGCACACACACACACACACACACACACACACACACACGCGTTTGAGCCACTTGAGGCCAAACAGTGAGAGAGCCCTTGAAGTCAATTAGGAGCTGAGAGGAGACGAGGAGTCGGACGGCTTCTCCTGCTAATACACATAATGCGTGTAATATATCTGTGTTTGCTGACAGCTTCATGTGTGCAGCCTTTGCGTTTCTGTTGTCGGTCCGGCTCGGTTGTTTTATTTTCCTTTTGAGGTCTAAAAGACGAAAAACATCTCTGAGCATAAAACGTATGAATCACCAGTTATGACACATCAAGTCCGTTCGGCTCTTTGTGGTATGAAGAGGAGACACAACTACTGTTTTAGACTTTTAAAGTACAATGTGGAAAAATAAAGTATTGATTGATTTCTTTTTTTCTTGTTCTTGCAGTTTAGTATCATGTGCACGACTTCGTACGAATCCCCTCAGAGGAATCTCAAATATCTGTTACAGATTTCTCCTTCAAAGGGTCCTGGTAGCGCTCCATGTCTCCGTATTGCACAACTTATGAAAATTCCGCATTATCTGCTTTCCGAGAGGCGTGGGAGTGATCTGTTCTTTCTCTGTTTCATTTGAAACATTTGTTCAGCAGTTCGCTCTCTGCGTTCCATCATCTCTGCACCAGCTACACACGTCGTCTTCTGCTCAGAGATTCAACCTCATAAATATGCAGCAATTAGGATTTTCAGACACGGGAATTAACTGCCGCTCTGAATTATGTATTATATTGTATAATAAAGCAAACTGTATTTTCTGCAGGCCTCTCAGGTCGATGCACAGGCATCATCGCTGCAGCACGGCCGACCTTCTGCCGAGAGGAACAAGTGAGACTGGGATTCTGCTGCGTGACGCTTCGCGCTTTGCTGGCTTCTATAGACAAGTTTACTTCCTGTTTCTGCCAAGAACTTCCGGCGCAGGCTGAGTAGTGGTGTAAAAATGGCCTTGGAATGGCAACATTCGACCGAAAATCTGGTTAAAAATGGTGTTTTGACCATTCCCATCCAAGTAAGGTAACATCATGGGCGGACAGCATGTCGATATGGCCCAGCATCACAACATCCAAGATCTTTTCTTATTTTATTGATTCCATGGCGGTGGATGGGAATGCAATTAATAACCTGAAATGCTCAGAGGCGTTTCAGTACCTCCATTCCGACAAAGTGGGCTGTGTACTTTTACACGATATGATCAACCAAGTCAGTCCGTTAACTATTCAGCGCATAACGCCTGGGTTTTGGTTACCAAGACGGGAGATGTGGAGACTGGAGGCTGTACCTGTAGCCATGCAGCCTTTGCAAAGCAGCGCTTTGGAAGGCACGTTAGCCCATCGTATGCTTGTGTTAAGATGTTTGTATGTATCCGTGTGTTAATATATAACAGAACACGAAGAGTAATAAAAGGAAAAAGTAATCCCCTCTAGCCTGCCTGCACTAAACGCATTTAACCCTTCAAAGTGCGCAGACCTGACACATCTATTAATATAATATTAAAATTAATATCTATTAAGAGCTTCGGAATGGATAAAGGTATTAACTTACTTTTTTTTCTATGAAAAAGCTGACATTCGTCTGCGTAATAATTAGTAGACTGTGTTGACTTTGAATGATAAGCCTTCCGTTGTAGACGGTGGAAACATTCTCCTTCCGACCAAACATTCAGCGATCGCCACGAGTTGTTGCAACCATGTACAGCACAATATGTCCCGGAGCGGCGTCGGCGTGTAACACCACCCATAGTTTGCTTTTTCTGCACGCTAACCAAAGACCGTAAAAGACGCTAACTCGCTAACCGGAAGTGCTTTGCAGACACAAGCGGAAGTCGTTGGCAGAGTGAAAGGCCAATGGCGGCCCGCCTATTTCACTCAGGAAACTCGTCTATACTGACGTACCATCCACGTCCTGCTGTGAGGCCAAAGATGCTAAGCTACGACATCTGCTTTGAGCCATCTGCAGATGTCAAACCAACACCTCGCTGGTATTCTTCTCTCACACAGACAGAGGGAACAAACAGGGAGCGGTTGGGGGTGAGAATGCAACGTTTGAGGTCTGTAAGCTGTACATGAACCCAATAAGAAACAAACATGGCCGAAGCCAACGAGAGACAAAGTCCCTCCAGAGAGACACTCACAGGATCCTCAGGTTCTTCAGGCCAGAGAAGTCCACTTTGGAGACCCTGGTGATGTTGTTCCTGTTCAAATCCCTGCGGAGAGAAACACAAAAAGGGTTTTTATCATTTATCCTCCTGGCGGCGTCTCCCTCCATCACCACGAGCTTTGTGTGTCTGTGTGTGTTTTCAGTCAAATTAGTCAATGTGTTAACAGGACGGAGCGTGAGAACGGCCCACACACACACACACACACAAACGCACAAACACAAGTAAACAGAAGCCCAAACACACAAACAGTCCTGCCTCCCGTACGGGAACAAACTCGCACCACTCGCACACAAACGGCGTGGAATGAAATGATTTTCTGCTCGTCAGAGTTTAAAAGCTTATCGTGTTTCCTGGCTGTCGTTCTGTTTTAACTACGTACGCGTGTGTGTGTGTGTGTGTGTGTGTGTGTGTGTGTGTGTGTGTGTGTGTGTGTGCTTTGCTTCATACGCGTTTGCTGTTTATTGAAACGCCGTCGTACTCGGGGAATTAGGGCAAGAAAAAAAACACACTCACACACAAGCGAGCGCAGACAATCACACAGACACACACACACACACACGACTCTCTGACCCTGGCGTTGGGAGCTTCCACTCTCAGACGCACACAAACGCACATAAACAGTCTGGTTTTGCCTGCGTGTGTGTTTTTCATAATACACCTAAACATTTATAAATCCAATTTAAGACCATATTGGGTTTCAAAAGGCTTCTTTAGGCTGCCGTGGCGAGGCCCACTAATAAGAGCCAGACGAGGGGGCGGGGCTTAAAAGGGGGTCCCGTAGTCCGACGGGGGTCCTTGGAGAGCTTGAACCTGCCTTGAATCTGATGCCAGTGGAGGCCAGCAGCTAACTTTATATATATACACACATAAATAAATGAATAAATAATGGAATAAAATCAGTCTGAGGGGTCCAGTTGAGATGGTTCCCATCTGAGGACAGACCGAAGCGACGTGAAGATGTCTCTTCTTTGTGATGGTGCCGATGGTGGTGGAGTAAAGAGCAGCGCGACGAAAGAAACTGTTTTATTTTAACCAAGTGCTTCTGTTCCACATGCCTCCATCCCCCCCCCCCCCCCCGTCTCACCCCCCTGCTGTCTGTCTTCACTCCTTCTCCTCCTTCTTCTTCTCTCCCTATTCGCCGTTCTTTAATCTCCATCCTTCACTGATCCAGCCTCACCCTCTCTTTCTTTTCCTCTGTAATCTCCCCCGTTTACAGTCTCTCCTCCTTCTTTCCACGTCTTATCTTTCGCAGTCGACTAAACACGTTTTCTTTGCCTCCCTCAGTTCTTCTGCCTCCCCCTTAATCTCTCCTCTTTTATCTCAATCTCTCTCTCTCTCTCTTTTGCAGTTGGCCACATTTTCCCATTCTGCGCCTCCTCCCCTAATCTCTCCATCCTTATCTCCATCTTTCTCCTGGTCGCAGTGGAAACTTGTGCTCCCACCAAGGAAACCACTCAAACAAACACGGCCCCCCCTGAAGTCGCCAAGGGCACCGCCCGAGGGACGTGGCGTGGCATTAAACGATTTACAATGTAAATCAAGAAGAACACCGAGAGGATCAATATTGTCCTCAGCGCTTCCCCGGGGGGCCGGAGGGGGGGGGGTCGCTGATCGACAGCGATGTCGCTGCTCCGTCGTAAACGCTTCCATGCGAGTTAATAGATCCCGTCTTGCTCCCCTGGAGTTATGGACCATAATCCAAAACAGGGAGGCCTTTGTTTCACTGCAGGAAATGTCGCCTGAAAAGAGCCGACGTTCCCGTTTGACTTCAGGACCACGAAGCGCCGCTGTACACGCCGTTTACGCACCGAACCCAACGATTGAAAAAGCACTTTCAGCCAAAGGACTTGGATGACTTCAAGCCAGCGAGGGCGGCCATTTTTATGCACCTGGTCTGCTGAAGAGTGAGTCCCCCCCCCCCCCCCCCTCCCTCCCTCCTCCCTCCGGCCCCCCAGCAGGGAAACCTGGCTTTACATTTAACTGACCAGCTGCAGTCAGACAGCTAACGAGGCTTCAGCACAAAAGCTCCGACGCCGTTTGTTTCCACTGTAGACGGGAAAGGAGGGAAGCCGCGGCGCGTGTGTCTCTGCGTCTCTGCACGTGTGTGTGTGTCTGTGTGTCGGTGTGTGTGTCTGTGTGCGAGTGTGAGTTTCCGAGCGGCATAAGACAAGAATGCAAACAGCAGGTGCTCTGGGAAACCCGCACAAAGGCAGCTCAACCCAGACCAGTGAAACCAGTCAACCCTCCAGTCTGGCTGCTTGGGGCCATGATACTGATTGACTGCACGCACACTCACACTTACACACACACACTCACTCACACACACACTCACACACACTCACACACACACACTCACACACACACACTCACACACACACACACGTTCGGGTGTGGGGGCCTGGTTCACTTACGGCAAAGTTTTATTGGTGGTTAAACCACAGAGAGTGAGAACACATCTTAAGCTGTGACGGATCAGAGGACATGGACTCACGGGGGACGTGGGACTGATTGATTGACACGTTGAAGTGTATTTGTCTCCTCCTCCGGTTTCAATCCGTCCTGCTTTGGGGTTTTTTTGACCTTTGTCCTCCTTCTCCGTTTGTCTGGTACCAAAGTGAGGAATGAAACGGTTTCCTCTCGCTGTCCTTCCTCCGTCTCACTGGGACATTTCCTATCGTTTCCACTTTGCCTCTCATTCTATCAGCCAATGCGTCCCTATCTGTCCATCGCTGCGTCCTTTCATCCTTTGTTGCTCTGCGTCCAACGCTTCGTTTCCCGATGCGCTCGCTTCCTGCGCTAATCTCCTGTTATTTTCCACAAGGCTCTTGTGCCGCTTCACTTTCTTCTTCTGAATCCGCCCCTCGCTCTCTTAAGATCTTAAGGTATGCTCAATTTCGCTCTCTGGATCTCGCGGTTACGTAGAGGAATCCTAATTGGCTTCTTCCTTTTCCTCCCGAGCGCAGTGTGAGCAGAGTGCTTCTGATCTACACCCACGATCCAGCAGCTCCAGGCCGATAAGGACACTAAGTGTGTGGAGCGCTGGAAGGTCCACGTCCAGTTCTCATGGCAGGAACCCGACCGCAGCGCACACACAGCTCGTCCACCAGAGAAGGAGTAAAAGCGTGACCTATTTAACACAGTTATGTTGTAATAGAGCAACTGTATCACCTCCAGAAAGGCCACATAATGACAAACTCTAATGATTGTCACCACATATCGATGGCAACGTTGTTCTTTTATCCACTTTAAGCAG